TGATGTTACCCAATGTCCTTTATATGACAGTCTGAGAGATAAATAACCTTGAAAAGTCAGTGCCTGGAAAGAACCACTCTATTTTTCCTGACAAATTGCTACGCTTCCTTTATTCCAATGCTAAAGACAATGCAGTCAAATATGTATTCTTTTTTTGCCTTGGTTGCCCTGAAGATGAGCTAAATTCCTTTTTCAATTGCAATAAATAACCTCTCCCTGGTGCCTAATACATATAACTCTCTTTTATTTTAAAGTTGTAATTTTTTACAACATATTTTTAATTATGCCACAGTAAAAGTCACCTTAAATATGTTTCAAAATATGTTTAAATATGCTTTAAATATAGAGGGCAGAATTAATACTGAGGCTGCATCCTATAGGCTATTCCATGTTAAGTTACAAAACAAAACCAGTGTGGCCTAGGCCAGCATTTACCAAACCAGAACATGCCAAGCAGTCATGTAATAATCTTACTAAAAGTGTGGATTCTGTTCGGAAGGTCTGGAGTGGAGCCCGAGTTTCCACAGTTCTAATAGGCTCCCAGATAAGGTCACTCCTATTGGCCCTCAGACCACACTTGGAGGACACGGGGTCTAAACAGTGCTCTGCCCACACATGAAGGAAAAGTCAGTACAAGACAAACAATGAATAGGACGGAGCCCTAAGACACTAGAACCCTCACAATGGTGAACACTCCAAATCAGAGCAAATGGGATAGCCTATTTCTGTATCAGTCTTTAAAAATCAAAAGGTCTTAAATTCAGTATCAGTATTAATTTAATTTTTTACATAACAACTGTCCAGCTCATGTTTTTCAAAGAAGTTGATTCTGACTCATGTGTTAGATATTGTACCATACACATCTAAAGAAAATTTTGGTTGGTATGTTTCAAAAATCCCTATTATTCTGAATATTTTAGGAGGGAATAGGACAAGAAAACTCATTGAGTATCTGGAAAGTTTCCATTTATTCAACTGTTTACTAAACACCTATTACACTCCAGCACTACTTTGAGGTCTCAACATACAAATGCCTTTTTCTTTTAATTTATTTATTCTGGTTTTATTCCGATTCTTCATTTTTACTATCTTTGGGAGCAATTACTGTATAACTTAGGGAATTAACCTCTAATCAGCAAATAAGTGAATGAATCTGCATCATTTCAAGAAAATTCATCAGCTGTGATACTGGCTAAGGAGATATTCAACATTAGTTCATTTAGATTTTCTGTCTTTCTAGCTTATTTCTAGTTAAGAGAGTATTCCTTCTCCTGACATGGCCTATTGCATAACGATAGATTCTAAAATACTTCACAGTAAAGACCTAGTTTTTCCTATGTTGTTCAGTTTTTATAGATTCTCATAGTGCCCATTGTTGTCTCCTCTGCATAGTGTCATGGATGCAGTAGGCAAAAACCTTTATTTTGGTTAAAGCTAAAGCTAAAATTAACCAGTTATCTAATACACATAAAGAACTAGCTGAGTCACTGCATAAGTACAACATTTAAGTTTTTTTCTGGGTCAGAGGATTTAAAACCAACTGTACTAGTTTTCTACTGCTGCTATAACAAATTACCATAAATTCAGTGTCTTAAACAGCACAAATTTATTATTTTATAGTTCTGGAGGTCAGAAGTCCAAAATGGGTCTCACTGGGCTAAAATCGAGGTGTCAGCAGGACTTGGTTTCTTCTCAAGGCTCTAGAGAAGAACTTATTTTCTGTTCTTTCTGGCTTCTACACACCTCCTACATTCCTTGGCTCTTGGCTCCTTCCTCTACCTTCCAACCCAGCAATGTTGTGTCTCTCTGTGACTTTTCTTCCACAGTCACATCTTCTTCCAGTGGACTCTTCCCTTCTGCTTCCTTCCATTTTAGGAACCTCTGTGATTACATCGGGCCACATGGATAATCTGGGATAGCCTCCCTATTTTAAGGTCAGCTGACAAGCAACCTTAATTTCCTTTGCCGTGTAACCTAACACCCTCAGGTTCTAAGGATTAAGATGTAGACATCTGTGAGGGCTCATTAGTCTACCTACCACACCAAGACAGGGTTCCATTTCTATTTACTAACTTGAATTTTCGAAACACTTTAGTTCTCTTACAGTTTTTCAATGCTAGGAAAAGAAGTTCTTCCGGGAAGAACAGTGTAAGATTACTGATAGCAAAAACCTGTGTTTCAGTTTTTCACCATGAGCTCTGACACTATTGGGATGACTCTAATACTCAGTGAGAGAGATGGATATTGCCGGAATGGACACTGCCACAGAACCATTGGCTCCCGGATACATGTAGCCTGAGACCCCTGACTTAGGTTCTGGTAAAACGATGCAGTGGAACATGGAATCAGACTGTGGCCACCAGGATAATGTCCTGACTCTGCAATCCAAGTTGGCTAGAAAAAGGGCCTTCTCATTAAAGTTTTAGAAGCTAAAGCCTCCTCTAAAATTGCTCTAATGAGCTTAGAATCATTAAAACTGTCCAAGGCACTAAGTAATAAAGTTCAGAGTTTGTTTTAAACATGGAAAAAAGTGAAAAGTCAAATAGGTAAATTATAGTAGCCTAATTTTTTCATGCCATTACTAAGGACTGCGCAGGCGATGGTTTCAACTGTGCAATGCATAAGCTCTAAAGACTCTAAATCTCTCTAATCATTAAAAGAATAACACTTTGCATGAATGTTTTTATGAATATAGTCTAGACATACTTTCTCACAGGAACTCTTGATTAAAGATAATTATTATATTTCAATCAGAAGTCACAGAAAGTAAAAAGTCTGAATAATTGGCTGAAGGCCCTACACAAACCGAATCTAAATATGAAACAAACGGAATCAAGTTTGAACTTATGGCCTGAATTCTAGTAGATAAAAGTATATTTGTGGTGATTAAATATTTAAAACAGGCATGTCCAGTCATCATGTGCTAAAATAGAAACTGTATGGCAGTTTCCGCAGAGTCAGATTGGCTCTACTGTGGTATCATGTCATACAAAGGTTATGAGAAGTATATTGTTTCTTGAGAACCTTGTTTTTTAACACACAGTAAGCAATGCCAATGTGAGAAGTAGTCATCTCTCACGGGTTAACTGATACCCTCAATTTCTACCCCTCTCACCTGCTGACCCCCTTCCTTGCCCCTCCCCCCAAACTGTACCTAATACGAAGGTGCTTCTGAGAACTATTCATGGTTCCCATGGCTCTGGTAGGGTCTCCAAACAATACTTCAGCTCAACACTGCTCCTTGGCAACACTGGAGCAGGCTAGCTTTAATGAGCTCTGATTAAGGAATGGGATAAGGTGGTGATCCAAGAGGAATTTTATTTGCATAGCCCCTAGAAGAATTCTGAAAATCTATGCACATATTTTTAAATAACATCTAAACATTTTTCACATAAGTTTAAACACTTGAAAAAGGAACATGATTTCGAATGCTCTAATACATATTTATCAGAACCTCAGGGCTGCAGATTTCACTCATTCAATCTATGGAAAATGTCTGCTCTATCACATAATTTAATTGGCAGAGCCCATTCTCATTGCCAAGCCAATCAACCCAATAAGACTTTCTGTCAAAACAAGTCTGACTTCGTTTTTTTCAGTCAAATGTGAAGATAGTCTTGATGACAATCTGTATTCTGAATGCTAAAAGGAACAGACAAATAAAGCACAGAGCCTTGTCATGTGCTCATCCCTTGGATGAATGAGGAAGAAGGAAGGAGAACTGGCAGGCATTATCCATGCTCAGAGGCGATCGGTTTCAAGAAAGAGATGGAAGTTGAGGATCTGAAAATTGAAACCCTTGAAACCCTCTATGCCCTGGGAAGTCTTGGAGCCCAAAGGCATGTACATAGTTTGGAAACTGCTGAGAAAAAGCACTTAAATTCTTCTTTGAAAGTATCTAACATGAAACAAATATAAAGTGGTGTTTCTAAACAAAAAGCCCTCTGACTACATTTCTTTGAGGGATCCTAGGCCTTTGGAAATATCATGTTCTCTTCATCAAAACGGAGGGTCAACAATTAGAGATTATAATCTTGCTTATGCAGCCAGCCAATCTTGTGTATAATCTTGGATGGGTAGTTCTGGTGTCCCAGGATTTGCTTCTACATTTTCTCTAGTCCTTGGAACTCCTTGATTTGGTTCTAACCCTCCACCCATACTTGGTCATTGTTGAGTGTGTGTTTCACCCAGTCTAAATTAGTCACCTTTCCCCCTTAAGCTCCTAGATTTCACTCCATGTCATCATTGGGCCTTATGCTCATATGTTGATGCTCTGGCCTTTTTTTAGTGCCAGAAGTAGATAAGCTTTTTTAAAAAAAACCAAAAACAACTGCAACTGCCAAGGCTATCCTGTTGTGCCAGCAGAGCTGCTTATGCAAACTACTGAAAACTCTTAGGTGGAAATATAAGGAGTGTAATACAAGACATACTGGTAATGTATTTTGAAAACCTCTCCCCTAATATTTCTGGGAGAAAGGTTAGAAGTAAATTACTGACAATGGGCAAGAAAACAGATGCAAAGAAGACAACTTTATTAGGTGCTTTCTCTTCTTTATGAGGATTTTGGTCCTTTCAGAAGCAGCTCCAAGTAATTCGACAATACCCAGTTTCCTTCAGTTGCTGCAACTCGATCCCACGGTGGGTGCTCTGGAAAGCGTGCTGAGGGCGCATGGGTCTGAGGCCACTCACGATCAAGGTCGTCTGATCCATTTGTTAAGTTGAGACTCTTTCCGTGTCACCTCTTAGAAGCAGGTCTGTGTTCCCCTCCAAATAGCCCACCACCTGGCTGTGCCCACCTCCATTCGTGCCCCACCTACCCTGTAACGGGTGGTTCGGAGGTGCGGCTACGGAGGCAGCCAGGCCTTTAGACGCAATCACCGAGGAAGAGGCGAGGACACCAGCGGAGGATGGAGGCGCGCGCAGGTGCCCGCGCACCCACCCACCCACACACACCGACTCGGGGTGCAGGGCGGACGGGGGAGGGGAGCGGAAGGCCTTACCAGATCAATGAACGTCAGGAATTTCCAGCTCCCGCCGTAGGTCTGATGCGAGGGCATTTCGATGGCCTTGTAGTTACACAGGATAGAGCAGTAGGACAGCAGGATCGCCACCCGCAGCACCTGGCACGGGACAAGCGCCATGTTCGCGAAAGGCCTGGCAGCCTGGAAGGCGGGGAGCGAGGGCTGGAGGCGCAGGGCGCGCGGGGGCGGGCGCCGGG